ATTATCCAATCAAATCTAAAATCTTAACTACTCAGATAAGTATCAAAATGTTCTGACATGGAAGCAAAGAAGCAGGACTGTGAACACTGACAGAAAACACAAAACAGAAAGAAGTGCTGAGGGAAAAATAATCTCCTAACTTAAAAACAATAGTAACTACTAGAGCTGGGAGTTAGCTTGGTCAGCAAAGAGCTAGGCTTCCATTATGAGGGCCTGAGTTCGGTCCCCAGAACCCAAGTTAAAAATCAAGGTCATGCTGGAATGTGCTTATAATCCCAGCACTGGGGAAGGGAAAGCAAATTGATCCACGGGCCACAGGAAAGAATAAACCACGCTAGAATAATAGTTAAGCAAGAGAGGAAGTGGAAATAAAACAATCACTACAAAATCAACAAAAACAGGAATCAGTGCAAAACTTTCAACAACTCTGAATATTAATGGTCTCAATTTTCCCAATCAAAAGATATAGACTACTAGATTGGATCAAAAAGCAGGAGAGTGGGACTTGGTAGCACACACTTTTAATCCTAACACTTGGGAAGCAGAGGCAGGCAGATCTCTGTATGCTCATGAGATCAAGGCCAGCCTGGTCTCTGCAGTAAGTTTCAGGCCAGCTGGGAGGCTACAGGGAGACCCTGTCTCTCTCTCTCTCTCTCTCTCTCTCTCTCTCTCTCACACACACACACACACACACACACACACACACACACACAAAATGCTATTTGTTGCCTCCAAGAAACACACCTTACCACAAAAGACAGATACTACTTAGGGTGGAAGAATAGAAGGTATTCCAGGAAAATGGTCCTAGGAAACAGGAGGGTTTTGCTGTTCTAACATCTGACAAAACAGACTTCAAACCAAAGCTATTTAGAAAAAATAAAGATGGTCATTCCATACTGATTAACACAAGAGTCCACCAAGAAGACACTGCAATTCTAAATTTATAGCCCCCAACAAAGGTCAACCAATTTCATAAAACAAACACTACTAGATGTAAAGTCATGGATTGACCCCAGCCCAGTAGTACTGGGTGACTTCAATACCCTACTCTCACCAATTGACTGGTTATACTGTAAGGAACAGATTTTTAGCTTTTTGAGAAAGGGTCTCCCTGTATCCCTAATTGGCCTGAAACTCACTATGAAGACCAAGCTGGCCTTGATCTCACAAAGATCTACCTGCCTCTGCTTCCTGAATGCTGGAATTAAAAGCATGCACCACCATACCCAGCAAGGTGAGTATTTTTTAACATAATGGATGGGGCTGGAGAGATGACTCAGAGCACTAGCTGCTCTTCCAGAGAATCTGTGTTCAGGTCACAGCACCCACGTCAGTTACAGCTGACAACTACCTATAACTCCAGTTTCAGGGAATCTGATGCCCTCTTCTGGCCTCCACAGGCATTGTACGCATGTGGTGCACTTATATGATGGCAAAACACTCGTACACATAAAATATAAATAGATAAAATATTTTCAAAACATAATGGACATCACAGACAAAGCAATATAATGATCTGACATGTGCAGATCTCTGGCACTGGCTAATTATTCATAATCACATGATGTTCACAGAAGTGAAATAAATAGGAGGCCTATTAAGTTCTTGCTCAATTTGTTTAAGCAGAAAAGTTGTTGAAAAAATGAACAATCGGAGTCACATCAACAAAGAATCACAGACCCTCAACTAATTTCCAGACTTGAGTCAGTTGAGAGACACAAAACTTCTAAAATAAAAGATAGGCCAGGTCCTTCTGAGGAGGGACTATAATACCAAAGTTTAACTAGTATTTCTCTCACTCTTTCCCCAAAGGGACTTATAAATTTCTACAAGGGTAACTGTACATTGGGGAAAAGAAAATAATCAGACTCTTGGGACCCACTAGATACCGGCTCTGAATTGGCTTTGATTGGGGGCCACCACTGTGGCTGTCAGTTAAAGTGGGGGTTTATAGAAATCAGGTGATCAATAAGTTTTAGCCAAAGTTTGAATCAAGGCAAAGTCCAGTGAGTCCCCTAACTCAAACTAATTATTTTCCATTCCTAGAATGCATAATTGAGATAGATATTCTTAGAAGTTGGCTAAATCACCATATCCATTTCCTGACCTGTGGAGTGAAGGCTACTATAGCAGAAAGGCCAAATGGAGCCATTACACCTGTCTCCACCAAGGAAAAGAATGAACCAAAAACAGCATCACATCCCTCGAGTAAATACTCCTTCATCAAAGACTTGAAAGATGCATGGTGGTGATTCGACTACATCTCCCTTTATCACTCCTATATGACCTATGCAGAAGATGGGCATATCATGGAGAATGACAGTTGATTGTTGCAAATTTAAGCAAGTAATGACTCCAATTGCAGAGTAACATCTCTCTTGGTCCCTGATATGCAACTATTGATCTCACAAATGCTTCGGTCTCTATACTTGTCCATAAGGGCCATCAGAAACAATTTGCTTTCACCTGGCATGCCAGCAGTGTACCATTCCTATATTACCTCAAAGATATGTTGATTCTCCAGCCCTGAGTCATAACTCAGTCAATAGTGATCTTGATCACCTGTCTTCCACAAAATATCACACTGGTCCATTATATTTGTGGCATTATGCTAATTAGACCAAGTGAGCAAGAAGTAGCAACCACTCTGGACTTATCAGTAAATATATGTACATGAGAGGATGAAAAATGTAAACAAAAATTCAAGGGCCTTCTACCTCAGTAAAATGTCTGGGAATCCAGGGGTATGAGGCAGGCAAAGATATTCCTTCTAAGGCAAAGGATAAATTATTGCACTCTGCCCCTCCTACAACCAAGAAAAATGAACAATAATGTTTAGAGGGCCTATTTGGATTTTGGAGGGAGCAGATTCCTCACTTGGGTCTGTTACTCCAGCCCATACACCAAGTGACTTGGAAAACTGCTAGTTTCGAGAGGGGCCCAGAGAAGAAGTCTCTTCAGCAGGTCAGGGCTACTGTGTGGGTTGCTCTGCCACTTGGTTCATATGATCCATCAGGCCTGATGGTACTTAAGATGTTGGTGGCAGAGAGGGATGATGTTTATAGTCTTTGGCAGGCCCTTATAGGTGAGTCATAGGAAAGGCCATTAGAATTTCACAGCAATGAAGTTATTCTTTGGCTTTAAAAAAAGATTAAGCCAGGAGGCAGAGTCAAACAGATCTCTGTGAGATCAAGGTCAGCATGGTCTACATAGTGAGTTACAAGGCCAGCTGAAGTTATAGGGAGACAGACCCTGTGTCAAAAAGACCAAAAAATATTTTTTTTAAATTAGAACATGGTTCCCTCATAAAATAAATATAAATCAATTAAAGTTAGTTGAAAAACTTAATGAGGATGACAAACAAGCTTTATCTCACAAGATGAAGCCAACCATATTTACATCAGGAAATAATAGATAATGCTTACTGAGTGCTGACTATGCAGCAAGAGCTCTTCTACACATTTAACACATACTAGCTCATGTCTAATCACCACAGGAAGAAGGTACAGTCCTATCCACACTTCACTGATGAGGACATTGGGGCACAAGAAAGTAACCTGCTGAAAGGTTATGCTAACAAGGAAAGTAGGCAACGTTAGAACCTCATATTGAGTATGTACACTTAATCACTGTGCAATCCTGTCCCTAAAGGAAAGCATACTGAGGTCAGATTTGGATATACTGGACATGTGGAAAAATGCCAGAGGAAAGCCTGGTTCCTCCAATGTTTATGATCCCGTGTTCAAAAGCCAGTTTTGCCCTTTTTGTGTTAAAAGAAAAAACAATAAATTTATTAAAGTATCTTAAATAATAGTGAAAGTAAAAAAGCTTATTTGGAAAAGTATGATTTATGTATCAGGCAGCACTGAGAACAAAGAGTGATTCAGAGAGCTCCACCTAGCAGTGTGCCCACACAATACTTAGAAACAAAAGAGGAAGTCTCATCCAGAAAGCAGCAGTCTGATCAATTGACAGTCTATGATTGGCTGAGAATTCCCTACTTGTCACAAGAGCATAACTCGAAAATAACTTACACAGGAAACTAGGCTACAGTTTACTACAAAACTGGTAGCTTTATTTAGGATTAGATTTGCAATCTCTAGGGCATCATTTAGACCATATGCCACTCAATCTTCTTCCAGCACGAAGAGAATTCCTTTTTTTTTAACATTTATTTCTTTGTTTACTTATTTAGGGGGTATATACATGCCACACATGTATATGGAGATCAGAGGACAATTTATGGGAGGTGGTTTTCTCCTTCCATCATGTGGGTCCTAGAGATAGAACTCAGGTCATCAGGCTTGGCAGCAAGCACCTTCACCAGCTGAGCCATCTCATTGGCCCAAAAAAGAGGGTTTTAATTGTATCAATTACTTTTCTGTTTTTGTGATAAAACACCAAAACCAAGGCAATTTATAGAAGGAAGAGTTTATTTGGCCTTATGTTCCCAGAGGGAAAGTTCGTAACAGCAGGGAAGCATGACAGGAGGTAGCCAGACCAGAAACCATGAGCAAACAGGAAGCAGAGGGCAACTGGAAGCGAGAAGAGGCTATGAACTCTCAAAGGCCACCCCGATGATGTACTTCTTTCCACCAGTAAGGTCACACATCCTAAAGGTTCTGTGGACCTCCTCAAACAGGGTCACCAACTAGAGACCATATGCAAGTGTTCAAATATTTGGGCCTCATTCAAACCTCCACATAACAATACATTTATGTGAAAATTCTGAGGCCTCAAAGGGAAAGTTTAAATACAATGCCCAAGATCAGCATCTAGTGCATAAACACTTGACCTATAGCACTAGGACTATAATTACATACAACATACACAAAATTATGAGCACATTATGCTTACTAATAAAGCAAACTCAAATTCCTAAATGAGATTTATAGCCACAGTATAGATTGCCAAAAAGAACAGTTTAAACACTTTTCTTTGTATGTTCAAATCCCTAATTAGGAACAAACACTAAGATGTCATAACATGTACTGTACCTCTTTGATGATTCTCACTCCTTTTGGATCCTTCATATTGACAGCCATACTCTAAAAATAAATATATATATATAAAAGTATCAAACACTTTTGATCATTGCTGGCAGTTCAACAATAGAGCCATTCATATCATATAGAGTCTCTTAAAGCAAGCTTAGTTTCTTCACAAGCAAATATTTAGAGCTTTATTGATTTTGTTTGCAGTTAGGATATGCTAGTCTGATAGCAGGGATCATAGATAATATTTTTCAGTAGTAATGGCATATAACACCAATACAAGAACAACAAATGTAAAGAACCAAATTATTTGTCTTTCATAAATTAATTTCAGTAGAAATTCTCATTTTAGAATACCTAAGTAATCTAAAGCAATTTTTAGATTACTTAGTAGAGAGGATATATTAACAAAAATTCTATTGTTTTTATGTGATAACGAACTTTTAAAATATTAGTTATATGTCAAAAAAAAATAGCCATGGAAGAAGGTGGGTTCTGACCTCCATCTGTGTACTATGGTCTCAGCAGACTGCCAGAGAGTGCCTGTTTCCAGCCTCCCTCTGGCATAGGGGCTGAGAATGCAGGGGACTACATGAGAGTGGCCAGATCCTGCCTCCATGTGGTGGTGAGCCTCCCTTAATTGCACCTTACCCAATCTCCTAACTGGGATTGCATAAAGCCCCTTCCAAGGCCCTGGGGCAGACCTGGCTTTGACAGGATAAGGCTGAGATCTTAGCAGACAGCATAACAGAATGGGTTCCGACCTCCATCTGTGTAGCAACTGTGATCTCAGTAGACCACCAGAGAGTGCCTGTTTCCGGCCACCCTCTGGCATAGGAGCTGAGAAATCAGGAGCCAGACTGAGAGTTCCAAAATCGCCCCTGCCAAGGGAACTTCCCAAACTTTGCTCTGAGTTCCCGCTAGTAGGGGTCCAAACCTTAGAAAGAAGCCTGAGTGTACCTGACTGGAACCTGACTTGGGCTTCTGTGGGTGCTCCTGAGTAGCTGATCTGAAGCCATCAGCTCCCTCCAAAATAAAACCAGAGAGAACCTGAAACCTGGACCAACCAGCTTTGTATAAACAATAAGAAAAATAACAAGGCAGACCAATAATACAAACATAAGCATACTTCAACTTATTCTCATATTAGAATCACAAACAACAAAAGAAATTCACATGTCAAAATCACAATGAAAGAATAATAAAATGGAAAGCCAAAACACTATGTCTCCACCAAACTCCACCAGTCCTCTAGAAGAGTTCCACAAGGAAATCCCCCTAGAGATAATCCAGGACACAGAATTTAAAAGAAAAATCATAAACATGATCAAGAAATTCAACGAATTTAAAGAACACATGAACAAACAAAGAACTGAAAGAAGATAGGGATAAACTTCTGAATGAATTCACAAAAGAGAAACATTGAAAAAAACTCAGGCAGAAATGAAGAAGTAAGTGCAAAACTCAGTAAGCCAACTTGAAACAACAGGGGAAAGCCTCAGTGCTAGAATGAATGAAATGGAAAACAGAATATCAACACTGGAGGATAAAATTGAAGAAATGGACCACTCAAACAAAGATTATGGAAAATTTTAAAAAACAAAGGAATGGAATATGCAAGAGATGTGGATAGTATGAAAAGATCAAAGCTACGGATCATAGGACTAGAAGAAGGAGAAGAATTTCAGGTTAATGGTGTTGACCAGATCTTAAACAGGTTTGTAGAAGAGAATTTCCCAAAATTAAGGAAAGACGCCCCCATACAAATACAGGAAGCATGACATATCATAGTAAAAACACCAAGTATACAGAACATGGAGAGAATACTGAAAGCAGCAAAAGAAAAACAACAAGTCATATATAAAAGAAAGCCTATTAGAATTACAGCTGACTTATCAGTGCAAACTATGAAAGTCAGAAGAGTCTGGACCAAGGTACTTCAAGTTCTAAATGACAATAAATGCCAACCCAGACTATTTTACCCAGAAAAAAAAAATGTCTATTATAGTTGAGGGGGAAGGAAAATTTTTCCATGACACAAAAAGCCTGAAAGAATACATGTCCATGAAACCAGCCCTTCAAAGAATACTTGAAGCAATACAAAGAGAGGAGAAAGGAACAAGTATACCCCAGGGGCAACAAAAGAAAATAAATAAAGGTACAATTGAGGAAACACAAAATTAGACAAAGAACACAAACAGCAATTAAAATGACGGCAACCAATACACATCTTTCAGTAATAGCCTTAAATATCAATGGACTGAACTCCCCAGTTCAAAGGCATAGGCTAACTGAATGGATTAAGAAACAAAATCCATCTTTTTGCTGTCTGCAAGAAACCCATAAGAAACAACCAGGATTTGTAATTCTAAAATCTGACAAAAAACACTTCAAACTGAAACTAATCAGAAGAGAAAAAGAGGGTCACTTCATTCTGATCAAATGAACAAATAAGCAAGAAGATTTTTCAATCATGAACATATATAAACCAAACTCTGATGTACCCATATTCATAAAAATAACACTACAGGACTTTAAGACATAGATTAACTCCAACTCAGCAGTAGTAGGGGATTTCAATATTTGAATAGGTCCTTCACACTTAAAGCTGGACAAAGAATAAACAGAGAGACATCTGAATTAAATGATACTATACATCAAATGGACCTAACAGACATCTTTTGAATATCCCACCCAAGCACCAAAGAATGCACTTTTTACTCAGCACACCATGGAACTTTTTCAAAAACTGATCACATACTGGCCCACAAAACAAACTTCAATAAATACAAAAAAAAAAAAGAAAGAAAGAAATAAGAAATAATTCCATGCATTCTATTGGACCACAATGCAATAAAGCTCAAAATCAACATTGGAGGAAGCCCTATTCACTAACTACATGAACTCTGGTGGTTAAACAACACACTCCTAAACAATGAGTGGATCAAAGAGAAATTAAGAAAGAAATAAAAGAATTCCTGGAATTTAATGAAAAGGACAATACAACACAATATAACTTCTGAGACATTTTAAAGGCCATCCTAAGAGGGAAGTCTATAGCTTCAAGTGCCTACATTAAAAGTTAGAAAGAGCCCAAATAACTGACCTAACATTGCAACTCAAGACACCGGAAAGGCAAGGACAAATGAAACCCAAACCCAGCATAAGAGAAGAAATAAGAAAAATCAGAGCAGAAATTAATGAAATAAAAACAAAGAAAACAATATGAAGAATCAATATAAGAGCTGGTTCTTTGAAAAGCTAAACGAGATAGACAGACCCCCTAGCCCAGTTAATGCAAAGAAAGAAAGAGCAAATACAAATTAACAAAATCAGATATGAAAGGAGAAACATCACAACAGACACCCAAAAGATCCAGACCATTATACGGGAATATTTTTAAAACTTATACTCTACTAAATTTGAAAATCTAAAAGAAATGAATGGCTATCTAAAATCACAGGAGCCACCAAAGGTAAACCAAGAAGAGATCAATAGTATAAACAGACCCATAACATATAAATAAGTCAAAACAGTAATACAAAGCCTCCCAGCTAAAAAAAGCCCAGGCCCAGATGGATTTACAGCAGAATTCTACCAAACATTTAAATAAGACCTCCAACTAATACTACTTATTCAAAATGACAGAAACAAAGAGAGAGAACTCCCAAATTCATTCTATGAAACCAGCATCTACCAAACCAGGTAAAGACACAGACAAAAAGAAAACTATAGACCCATATCTTTAATGGACATAGACGCAAAAAATTCTCAACAAAATACTTGTAAACTGCTTACAGACACATATCAAAAAGATCATTCACCATGATCGAGTAGGCTTTATTCCAGAGATGCAAGGATGGCTCAATATACACAAGTCAATAAACATCATTAATTCTATAAATGGAATCAAAGACAAAAACCACATCATCTCAATAGATGCAGAAAAGGCTTTTGACAAAATTCAGCATGCATTTATGTACAAAGTCCTAGAGGGAATTGGACTGGAGGGAACATACATCAACATAATTAAAGCTACATACAACAAACCCACAGCCAACATCATTCTAAATGGAGAAAAACTGGAAGCATTTCCATTGAAATCAGGAACCAGACAAGGCTGTCCACTATCTCCACTCCTTTTCAACATAGTGCTTGAAACTCTTGCTAGAGCAATAAGACAGGAGAAGAAAATTAAAGGAGTACTAACTGGAAAAGAAGAGGTCAAACCATCCCTTTTTTCAGATGATATGATACTATACCTAAGAGATTCCAAATGTTCCACCAGAAAACTA